GTTGGGTGTGACGGAACCGAGCAGTTGCTAGGTTCACACAGAGGAAAAAAGAAAGGAAGAAGATGGATCAAAAGAGGGGAAGAAGATGGATCAAAAGAGGGGAAGAAGATGGATCAAGAGAGGGAGATAGGGGTATTATGGTAACTTTATAGTTTTTAATTTTTTATTAAAAATATAAATGCTAATCTAATTTAGCATCTGATTTGGCATTTTTATTTGTACATGTAATCAAATTATATGATGTGCTATTGCCATGTCATAAAAAAATTAAAAGAAAATGCCATGTGGAATATTTTAACTGCCATGTCATAGATAACTTACGGAGGGACCAAAATTGTGCAGTATTTAGAGTTGAAGGATCAAAAAAGTGCAAAAAAAAAGTAAGGGACCAAAAAAGTGCAAAACAATAAAGTTGAGAAACCAAAATTAGCACTTAACCTATATTGTAAATGTTGCTAAACTTGTAATTATGATACTTGTCCTATTGCATTCTTCTTCTACTTTCAGTGGCTTGCCATCAGGACTCAATTGTCTTCAACGGAATTTTCCTTGCGATCGTGGTTCTGGAAAACGTAAGTGCAATTAAAGCTTTTACCTTTGTTTACGAGAGTGGAATCGAAGCTAGAATATGAAGGATCTTTCTTAGTGGATTTATTGACAAAAATTTGAATTCTAAATCATTGTTAGTTGGGATGGATTAAAAACTGCTGGAATCACTTATCATTATTTCACAGTTAATAGCCATTAAAGGTAAGGTAAAAACAAGTATTAGATTAGTGCATTTAATTCTCAATGATTGTGGAATTGAGTGATATGTGCTTGGAAAAATGTGAAGAGAGGCACATCTTATCTGTAAATCCGGCGGTATATTACCAAACAAGCCGTCACATAAGCATGGTAGAACAAGGCAGACACAAGCTTAATTTTCACCTGGAAAATGAAGGGAACCAAATGAGAAATGGGGCCTAGGCTGACATATTCAATCTAAAACCAATTGGTAGTACATGGAATCATGGAGAGGCTCGTCTTATTTGTTGTCCAGAGGTTTTCAAATTAAATTGCCAATTACCATAGCAAATTGGGTATAAGAGAGATATAACTGGAGGAAACAAAGTGTTTTTTTTTTTTTTTAACAGAAGAATGTTCACAGATTTAACCTATTTAACCTATTTTACCTTTTGGTATAACATCAGTTAGGTCATAGGCTAGCCTTCTGTGCTGGGATAGAAATAAACTAGCTTTAAAAGAAATGGATCCAGTCCCAAAATTGGTAGTTTTTTTGGTTGTAAAATCCAAACTATCAGATAAGCACTTTAGGAATATGATCTAGAACCCTAAAAAATTTAGAATTTGATGAGCATTGTAAAGTCAAGCATGTAAATAGATCAATGCATTAGAGTTAGGAAACCTTTCTCCTGAATTAAATTATTGAATCCCTCTTTCATTTTGTCCTACAGATTATAACTTTGGAATTAAGTGTGGTGGTCCAAGGATTGCATCCTCTGATGGAGTTGTGTTTGAGAGGGATGATCAAATTCTTGGCCCGGCCTCATATTTTGTGAGTGACACAAACAGGTGGGCGGTCAGTAATGTTGGATATTTTGCTGGGAACAATAATCCTCAATATACCAAGAATTCATCATCTCAATTTACAAACACTCTAGATTCACAGTTGTTTCAGACAGCACGGACCTCTGCTTCCTCACTAAGGTACTATGGATTGGGGCTCGAGAATGGCAATTATACTGTGAGCCTCCAATTTGCAGAAATTGTGATTGATGATTCTACCACATGGCAAAGTCTTGGGAGACGGATTTTTGATATATATGTCCAGGTGCGTATATTTCTTAATTGTTCTATCATACTGCTCTTCAACTTTTACCACACAAACCATAATACTATCCTTATTGCCAACAGGCCATGATCCATCCAAGTTTATGATGCCAGGAATGGTTACTGTGACAAAGTTCACTACATTTAATAGAATAGAATTCTTAACCTTTCTTCAATCTGTAACTGAGTATGATTTAACACATTTAATGAATTGCTTTTAGAAAACATTGGATAATGACTTTTGAATTCCTAAATTCCTAGATTCAATTATCCCTGCCATTTTTAAAACTATCTTCCAAATAACTATTGCCACTGGCTCTTTAGAACCTATTTGTTTTTTGGATCCTAAGCAATTTCCCAAATAATTGTTGAAATTATAAAAATTTTCAAATCTCAGCTACGATTTGGTTTGAGAGAAGTGACTGAAATTTTGGTTAATTATATTTCATTCCTTTCTTATAAGAATGACATTTTCCTTATCTTCATTTTCTGCTTAAGTTTTGACTCAGTTC